GATAACATATCTTAAGCTTCTATAAGACTCGGCTAGTATCATAAGCCACAGGTAGGATAGAAAATCAGAAATCATATTTGCCAAAAATATAAATATGTCGATACTTAGGAGAAGAGATTTCAGATCCATCTCAACATAATAGAAAGACAGACCCTATGGAGATACAGTTGGTCACGAGTATGTAAAATACTCAGCTAAATCTCCAAAAACTATGCAAATAGACAACCTGATGATATTTTGTTACAAAACTACCCAGAGTTGACTCTGACTTTTTAGTAGAAAATAAATATCGATAGAAACCGAGACTTTGGGAATAGTCTCTATAAAAATAGCAAGACACCATTAAGTAGAATTTCCTTACTTTAAAGCTAATTTAATAAAAATTCTTGGCGGCGTCAGTCATTGTGCTGAATGCTGGGTGGGCAGTGGTTAACAAAAGGCACTCCAGCCTGCAGAGATAGGCAATGGACAAGAAAAAAAAAAAATATATATATATATATATATACACACACAAGACCATTTCAGCTTGAGATGAGGGCTATGGAGAACATGAGGTAGGGTCATATGCTAAATCTTTACCATCCAGCACTAGCAGCTGCCAGCCATGTGTGACTTTTGAAATCTGAATCTCAGTTCTCTGGTCAAACTAAACTTGTGTCATAGTGCTCAGTGGCCGCATGTGGCTGGTGGACACCGTGTCACACAACACAGATGTGGAACATCCCATCACTGCAGAGATCAGGCTGAAGCATGGCCAAGAAGTGCAGGTGTGAGGGAGGCCGGCATCTATCTGAGATAAAACAGCTAAGAAAATCTTATTGCTGAGAACATATTCCAGCTGAGACTTGAATGCCAAGAAAACAGAGAGCCCTGGGAACATGCCTGGGAAAGGTTCTAAACAGCAGGAATACTGAAAGAGTAAATGAGCCGAGGTTGGGACAGACTTGGAGATCATTCAGGAACAAGGAATGGCTTACGTGAGAATTAGGGCTCAACTCAACTCCAAATGGGGTAAGTTAAGGTTCATTCCCATACAGGATTCTTTGCATATAGAAACTTGAGCCCAAGTGAGGAGTGGAGACTGTTCTTCCTCTGCATTGCTGG